CATATGTCACCTCATTCTCTGACATACTACTAATATTTAGTATTCTCTTAATAAGAAATAGATGTTAGTTCTCATTAATCAGTTGGTCTTAGTTAAAATTAGTTCATTATATTCATTTCTATGTCAGTTTAATAATAATTTTATCTTAAAATGCTCCTATTAAAGTTTGTACATATGTATTCTTGTACATATTTAATCACATATAGATTTTTAAAATCCCTTTTGCATCATTTTAGCAAAGGAATTCAATATTGTGTACACTTTTTTTTCTTTTCTTGAAATACTATATGTAGAAAGTTAAGCTATACAGACAGAACTGGGAATTGCCCCACACAGAACAGCCACAAAGACATCAGCACGAAGCAGAACAGTCCATATGTGGCTACTTTCCAAACACAGATAAATATATTCAATATATTCCTGTTTCAAATTCCCCAATGAGCAAAGCAAAGCATTCTACTACTTCCCACAAGAAAAAGATAATAAAACCAAGCAAGCAAAAAACAGGGTTTACCTACAAATGTATAAAACATTCAGTTCTTTGGCAATACGTATCAAGGCACAGGCCACCAGGTAACAGGTTCATGTTTAAGCTGCCCAAAGCGTATTTATATGTTCCTGTGTGTTTTGCAATGAAAGTGTTTCCTATAGAGTACTTTTTCCGATATGTATTCCACTTCCTTTAGAGTTCTAAGTTTGAAACAACATAAGGCTAGTGTGCAGACCTGATCATTTGAGCAATAGTCTTTCGGTGTTATATTCTTCAGAGAGATAACTGTGTGGGATATATATTTTCTGTGGTGACATGGCAGGATGGCCATTGATATGAACAAAGTTCTTTTTCAAAAAGATTTATTGCTATGGTGGAAAATTCTTTGTGCCTTTTTGGAACTCGGGTAAAGCTGCATCATAAATAATGGAATAACCTACTACATCATTCTTTTTTTAACTCTTAGTCATTTTTTTCCTCACAGCAGTATTTTCATTTAGGTATGATCTCTCAGTGCACTTTATATGTTCCAGGGGTTTATATGTATGTGGCCATTGTTTTTATTTAGATTTAATTGGATTTGATTTTATAATATATTGCTGAATAGTATGATACTTCAGCTCTAGAACTTTTTTTTATAATAAATGAGAGTAGTCAAAATGCTAACCTGTCACATTAAACTCATTAAAACTCCCTGTATATAATTGTGTATACTATTTGTGATGTTATAAAGAAAATTTATTTAAAAAATGAGTACTGAAAACTTTGCTAAAGGCAAAGCTTTCCTGGACACTTTTAATCAGTCATTTCTTTTTTTTGCTTTTGTTCCCTTTTTATGAAGAAGACATCTACTTATTAAATGTTTTATGCTTATTTACAAAGTTAAAAATATTGTCTGAAGAAAAGTTACAGTAACATATATTTTAAAATGTGCCATTTTTAGATTACTATTTGTGTTTCAATACAAAGTGATAAAATTATTTTTCCCCAGAGCAAAATGTTGGAAACACTTTTCTGGATAGATGTAATTGGTTTTCTTTTGTTATGGATGAAAATGTCTAAATCTTAAATTTATCTAATTATAGTACTTTTAAAACTTTGTAATTGGTTTCTGTGTTTAATATTTTATATAAATAAATTGTCCACAAATGTATATCTCTCATGAACATGCATGAAATGCATTTATTTATCTAAATGCACAAAAATGCAGAATTTATATGATGAATTAAGGACCCAACAACATCTACAGTTCTGAACTTTTATACCTTATTCTTTATAGTTGTTTATGTTTTCTACTGCAAATGCAAATGTATATATTTTTTAATCCATTACTATAATAGTCTAAATTGGTTCTAAGCAGAAAAATATCATGAAGTTTTTAAAAAATAATTTGTAATAGGATGCTTTAGAAATTATGTCAAAGGAGAATGGGTAGAGTGTGGTATTTTAACATGTGATTAGCATTAGTGAAGTGGCAAAGAATTTACATGAATGTTCAGTTTTAAATACATTGTTATCTCCTGCATAGTCTCTCCTATTTCCCATCTTTTTATTAAACCCTAAGGGAATAAATCACTAAGAATATTCTACCCTTTTAAGGTCTCCCTTGAACTTAACTATTGTTGGCATTTAGAAAGAGATTGCCTGTGAGAAATTGCTGGAGAATTTTATTCCTTCCTGGGAGATTTGCCTACAGTTTCCCTGGTGAACAAATCAGTTAGAGAATTTCAAGAGCTTCCAGAAATTTGTTGTGCCCAATTTATTTCATACTAAAGCTTCCTTTTTCATAGTGTATGCATTTACCTAATGTACTGTAGAGCAGTGGTCCCCTATTTGCAACTGGCCACACGAGTGTGCTGACGCATGCACAACCCCACTCACGCAAGTGGCCTCTCTTCCCTCCCTTCCCCTGATGCCAGGCCAACCCAGAAAGGTTGGGGAATGCTGCTGTAAGGTACATTCATAAGAAACATGATTTTGACAAAGATATGACGGATATGTAGACAAAGGGGCTAAAGCATTTTTAAATCCCTGAAAAATCAAGATAATATTTAGAAGCAGATCAGTCAGATTCCTCCCTAATTTACTGAATATAAGAAAGGAGTGAAGGATAAAGAGTATTATCACACAGGCAGAGTTGCAAGATTCTGTTACTGTAACAAATCAGAAAGTAGTTTTGGCCTTCTTGTGCTTTCCTCTAGTAGAACAGACATTACACAATTTTGCAAAGCATTTTGCAAAGCATAACAAATTTGTATGAGTGTTACCACACTATAAGTAAGCAGATGAATTGACTTTTCTATGAAACTGGGGGTGCTGCTTTAATGCAAAATGTGAATTTCAAAAATAACTGAGAGTAAATATTGGAGTGTTGATTGAGGATAAAGTTAGGTAAATTGATAAATTGAAGTTAATTATTTTCTCCTTAATAGTTAATATCCATATCTGTCCATATATAAGCTACACTGAATTCAGTAAGGTTTACTCCAAGTATGGCATGGTAATTAAATTTAAATTTAATTTAATGCAAACTGAATTCTACAGCAATTCTACAGTCAGGCCATAATTATATTTTGACATTTGTATGTTTTCCAAATTTTATGATGCCTTTCACCAACAAAAACAATAACATTCCCCAAAATGCATATATACAAAGAAGTAATACAGAACATTTTTTACATTGCATAACATTTTTCAAAATGTGAAAAAATATTTCACATGCACATTCAAAATGAATATATCATAATCATAAAATAAATTAGTTTTAACAGTGAAATTGAAATCAAATTTGTCTACTTTTTAAAAATGAAATTGTTTTATCATAAAAAAACAATCATCTGTTCCCACTGACTCCAGGAAAACATAGATTGGTTGCCTTATAAAAATTTATGTGCTTTGACTCATTATCTCCCCTTTAATCACATAAAGGCAATTGATAAAGAAGCTTATTTATTATTCTTATACCAGAATCATGTCCCAGTTACATGGATTTGTCAAAGCATATGAGCAATATTTTTTGTTATTATTTTTGTCATAACTGATTTGTACATGTTTGTTTGTTAAGCATGCATAATACAGTATATATGCAATATGCAGTGCCTTATCAGGATTTTTTTTATACTTCCACTAGGGATTAGAAGAATGGAGTAAAGCGGTAAGGCACAATATATGGCTGACAAACTGCATTAAATTGATTTGGTTATAAAGTAAAGGAGTGACTTTTTTAAAAAAAGTGTGCTTTAAGACTGAGTAAAAAATAGACAATCTAATCATAGTTGGCTGCTGGAATTAAAACCTGACCTGTAAGTACAATTCCAGATTCCTAAGAGGCATGACAAAAGCAAATTTAATGTTCTTTATTTTAAGTTCCTGTTTTACCTCGTATAAATCAAATCAATAATCAATGAAGACAAATTGTCTTGTCACTCACAATAAATACTTGCAGGTACTTTACAGGTGACTTTTAACCACTCTTAACCACCAGCACAATACAATAAATGGATTTAACTCTGAAAAATGTTTTGCACTTCTCAGGTCTGATTGGAAGCCTTATGACAATCTAATAGTAAAAGCTCTCTGGAATTTCACAAACCAGGGTAGCCTGACACAGTGACCACTGCTTAGTCATAGAGTAGCGGTTCCCAACCTTTTTCACACTAGGGTCTGGTTTTGTGGAAGATTATTTTTTTTCCTAGGGATTGGAGTAAAGGTTGGATTCAGCAGGTTCTGAACAGTTCTGGAGAACCGGTAGTGGAAATTTTGAGTAGTTTGGAGAACTGGCAAAAAAGCACCTCTGACTGGAGATTTTTCAGTATCCTTCCCCTGCCACGCCCACCAAGCCACACCCACAGAACCGGTAGTAAAAAAAATTTGAATCCCATCGCTGGATTGGAGGGAATGAGGCAGAGTGCAAAACCTAGATCCCTCATATGTGCGGTTTCCAGTCAAGCTTCTGCTTCTATGGGAATCTAATGCTTGATGATCTGAAGTGGAGCGGAAATGGTGATGCTAGTGCTGGAGAGTTGCTACAAATGCAGAAGTTTTGCTGATCTCTAGCTGCGCAGCCCGGTTCCTAACAGCCCATGAATTGGTCCTGGTCCATGGGCCTTGCGTTAGGGATCCTTGTCACAGAATACAAGCTTTCCATGAAAAAGAGCCATAAATTTACTTGGAGATATCTCCATTTAAAATCTGTTACTCGGGGAATATCTCCAAGGTATAACAATAATATAAAACAACTTTTATATTCCAGACTTCAAATGTTTTCATCTACATCTCTCAGAAATATTTATACAGGCTGGAAATTCAGAGTCACAAATATCTGAAAGGCAATAGCTGAGGTAAGCATTTGTGATGAGACCTGTGGTTTTTTTTTTTTTTTTTTTTAAATATGAATTGGTACATTATCTGAATAATATTTGGAATGATAGTAGTGCTTTCTGAAAATAATGTATTTCTTCAAATATGGCCATTTTAAATTAGTTAATTACTATACAACAAGATAACTTACCTGCACAACTTTTTGAGATTGTACATCAACAATTAGCACTCTATCCAAAGTCGGTTGAGTTACATAGATGAATTTATCCTTGACATTAGCAGCTGATGCCCAGACACATCGCTGGACTTCATCCCCATCAGTGTTTGGACAGACTTCATCCTAGAATTAAGATAAAATTTGGGATGAGTGAAGATAAAGAGAAGAATATAGCCAAGCATTTTGAAGGAGATATCTAGAGAAAATTAGCTCATATCTGCAACAATATAAAATGAAATTGAGCAAAATTATGTTTCATGCACCTCTCCTTCCTTAAACAATGTCACTTTCTTTTGTAATAACTTATAAAATGTTTGTTAAATCATGTTTCTTTTTAGATCAATTGATTAGGCAAACGATTTTAGATATACTAAGAATATTACCTTATACTTATATATTTTTTCAGGTTACAAGATGTGAAAGATATTCGAAGTACTTTGCTAATCAAAACAGGCAAAACTGGATTATCTTAAAAAAATGGACTACTATATTCCAAGAAATTTCTTATACTCCAGAAATACAACTGATGTTGTACCAACACATTTTAATCCTATTTATATTACACTTCATTAAATAAACAAAGCTGTCATAGCTCTAAATAAAAATGTAACAGCTTACAGAATAGTAATAATTTCAATGCATTAGATTTAAAACAATATTATATTCAGATAAATCCCCAGAAATGAATAGGAGTTCCATTAGGTATTATGACTGAATTTATTTTTGACATGTGAGTTTTCTGAAATATGACAAAGGTGTTCCATGTGGCAGCCTTTAAATAGAAATTAAGATGGCTTAAGAAATCACTTTCCAGTTTTCAAGTTTGACAAATTCTGGCTGGACATTTGGTCCCAACAGTGGCTACTGAAGCCCATGATTAATGATTTTTTCCTGCCTTATTTTGCAGCCTACTCATGGCAAGGAACCAAATACTGATTTCTGTGAGTGGATCTTTAGGGAAAGTAATTTGTATTTGCATGGATAAACAACATTCAGCAATTATAAAATCATAACATTGGAAAGGATTTTGGAAGACATATAGTTCTAATTCAGGCTGATCTATAAATTAACTGCTTGCTCACAGTGAGTTTTTCTGAAGTCTGTAGTTTGTCTGGTAGATTCATTTCACCACCTTCTCAGTCAGCTGAGGTAAAAGGGGAAATGGGCAAACACTTGCCAAGTTCATCCCAGTCTTTGCTCAATCAAAATACCTTCCCCGGGCATTTGGCTTTGCAAGACCTATTACAAGCATTTTAACAAGCCAAAACAATACTGGATTCTAATCTGGGTGGTATAATTGCACTGGGAAAGAAGAGGGGATGGTATTTTCTTCTCTGTTTTATGATTGTTTTATGATTTGGGGTCTGTTTGCCTTGCCCACCCAAGAGAAAAAACATATTAGATTGTGCAGAGATGGATAGACTAACATTGGAATTAAAAGAAAAAGGGGAAACAGAATATTATTTGGTCTGGGACACATGGTATAAATGGATAGAAAATAGAAATAAAGATTAAATATAAAGGAAATTTAAGAGGTATATTAAATGTAATGGTAATGTATATAGTTAAAGGAAGAAAAAGGAATATAACTGATGTGTGTGTGTGTGTGTGTGTGTGTGTGTATGTGTGTGTGTGTGTGTGTGTGTGTGTGTGTATATAT